ATCGGAGGATTTCGCTGACCACAGGCAATTCCCCAAATACCCTGAAGTGCGACTGTGGAAATTAGTGGTCATTTGGCCACCTGTTCCCGGTCCCGGTGCCAGGCACCCTGACGCCGCCAGGATACAAACAATATTGGAAACTTGTCCAAATGGCTGACATCGCGCAATTCTTCCCAAATTACCCTCGGCAAAATTGGACGATTTAGAATGTGGCTCGGATAGCCAATCGATAGCCGGGCGGCCCAATCCTCTCGACTTGACCACTCGGTGTGACCTCGGACGGACACCGCCAAGGAGGACATGAAATATAGCCTGGGGAAAAAGCGTTCGGGCCCACTTTACAAAGCTGCGGGGCACTCTATCCTGGTGCGGCCGTAAGCCTATATCAGTATGTATTATCCCCTTGATTGGGATATGATTGCCTTACAGAGGATCCCACTCTTGGCCAGACTCCCCGTCCATACATACCAAGTAATGGGGAAGACATCAGGGAGACATTAAATGATGCCGGCGTCCAATAATCAGAAAATAAAAGATGCGCAGCCACACTGGCATCACAATCTGGTAGTAGACCCGGCGAATCGCAGCCTGTAACAGTTTCTTTCTGCGAATAGCGAATTCTCGGCTGCCCAGATTTTCTACAGCACTGGTCTTGAATAATAATTTATTTTCTCCATGTAAAATTTCTAGAATTAGAAGAGAAGATATGTATCTAGCTGTTATCAAATTCAATGAAATGAATTTCAATAAATTCTGTCACTGTCTTTCCGAATTACTGTGACCAAGAAATATTTGGATTGCCTCAAGGCATATTCGTACAGCTCATTTTGAATATATATAATATTGCACAATAACAATCAATCACACCATATTGTGATACAAACCAATATTGGTTATAACGGAGCTTAGTCCCAGATTAAATGCGCTTTATCTTCCCACCAAGGCCTTGTCTGAGGATTATTCTGCAACCCTTCGTTTGACCCCTGACCCCCGCTCCATTGTAAGCCATTCTGCCGGTCACCCCAATCACACGGCTGGCGTGCTCGCCTTCCGAACGCCGAGCGAGCGAGCGGTGGGGGTAAATCGGGAAACCCGATCCATAAAACGGGATGTCACCCTTGGGTCCGCCTAATGACCCACCATCGCGGGGGGAAAAAAATACTTCCGAGAAAGGACGGAGGGATAGGGACCTGACGGTTAAAAAACGTTCTGAGCCCTGTGAAGTGTGGTGAGACATAAGGTCAGTGTATAGGGGCCGAAATGGATCACACCGCCTTCCATGCCTCAGTCCCCTTTTTTTTCTCAAATGATTTTGTAAGCACCAAACGAACTAGACTCCATTATGGGATATGCTAACGGCTCACTGGGATATGTTTTCCAATATGCCCTTGGCCTTGGTCTTCGCTAGAAGAAAATGGATGGTATTTTCCAATCCCCCCTTTCCACCCTCCTGCCCTTGGACTAGCCCGTTGCACCCTGAACTTTGGAGCGCAATAACATGTGTCATTTTCTTTTACGATGTAAAGGGAAACCTTGTACGCATTTGATGAATAACCTGCTCACATCACGGATCAATCAAATGCACCGCAGTGGATACAAAGGTAGGTAAGGAGGTAATGATGAAAGTGAGCTACTTACACTTCCCGCAGTCCCTTGAGATCTCGGAACACACTGGCATTTAGTATTCTCAACTGGTTATTGCTCAGATCTCTGTGAAATGGGAAGAAAGGAAGAGAGAGAAAAAAAAACAGGTCAGGCATGATGGATTACCCTAGGATGGGAATCTCACATAAATTAGCATTTCTTCCCTAGCGTGTCGTAAAAAGGTAATGCCCCAGGGGTAATAAAGCCCCATGACTGATGAGGCGACAGCTGACAATGATAGATATCGTACCTGCTAAAACCCCACCCTTTTCTACCTTCCAGCATATTGAGTGAACAACCGACTCAATGTCAAAGAGGTTACACTGTACACGCCGTTTTGTAACTTACATCAATCACCTGATAACGTCACATAATCAACACGATACACGGAAAACAGTTACTCAAAATACTGACAAATATCATGAAGATACAGTTTTAACGACACAATGCAGAAATAGATATGCCATGTAAATATAGACAAATAATATAACATTGCTATCATTGAATAAATTATTCATTTTGCCTGAGTACCGCACTAGGTTTGGATGGTAGATACTTTATCGCCCCCTTATTCACCCAATATCAAACCTCGGACAGGCTAACAGAAGCCAGTTTGCTCCTTAGTACTTCCCCTTATCTGTCTAAGGACACAAGGATTAACGGACAGAAGCAAGGGGAACAGTTTAATAAAGATAGAACACTGTTGTTGTAATCAAGATCTTCACGCATATTGTACGCTTTGTTTCGTCTGGCTGCCGGTTTACCGGCCTTATCTCCAGTCGATCTGATAGTCTGACCCTCTAACTGCGAGCGGCAAGTATTCGCCGCGACATGCCGCGACTGTTTGGTAGCCTGGGCAAACTGCAGGAAGGCGCAAAATAGGTTCCTTCGCAACACATACCTCTGTGTGTATGGCCCAAATCAGGCATATTGACTGTGGACCGCTTGGGGCAGTATCGTCGTGTTCAAATAGACAGAGGAGGCAAAGGTAAACTTGTTCTGGGCAATACACACCTGTACTCTGCGAAAGCAGGTAACAATCCGACCGCCACAATGGCGGAAACACAACGCTTTT